GTGGTATTAATTGCTGTTGCATTGGAGCATCTTGTGAAACAGTTGAGGTTTTTTGTTTTGTCTTAATGATTGAGGAAGAGTATAGAGCTGTTTACGCTGGCTCCTGTGAGCTCCATCTTCTAGGGTGATTTCTTCTCCCACCCCCCAACAGTGTCTTGTTTCCTGCTAACGTTATTTTTGAATTGTTTGCCTGTCTTGTATGTTCTGATCAAGGTTTATAAGATATTGAAAGGGAAAGCCATGTTCTTTTTGACACTTTGTTTCAGAACAGTGGATTAGGGAAGATGGGTCGCTACTTTGAATTGGGAAGCTGGACCTAGATTAGATGCTGGAATGTGGTCTTTTTCCAGAGACGAGCATGGCTGTGGAACAAGGTGCAAGCTTGCAGATGTCAACTTGATGGCGATCACTGCTTCCAGACGGTAGTAACTACAGGAAGCAGTCAGATCCAATGTGATCTCCTGCAGCCAAGTTTTGATTGCTGTGGGGAGCTGGAGAAGAATTCCCAAAATTGCTTCCCCCACTTTAGCCTAATGAAATCTGGATTTTTATTTTGTGGGGGAGGGGAATCAAATGGTTTTTGGGCGGCATGTGGAACATGTTCATCTGAATGCACATGTGATTGTGAGTGACTGCCTGCAGGGCCTTTGCTTCTCCGTTGTTACTCATGTCCCCAATCCTTGCAAGTTGTCAGAAATATTTGCATTTTGCATCAGCCTTTTCATCTTTTTAATCATTTCATTGGGTGACATGGTTTTCTACACTTTACTAAGCTGGGAATCATTTTTTAAAATGTGTTCTTTGTTGCTTTTGTAACTCTGGTTGCACGTCTAATACTGAAACTGTTGACTAGAATACTGCGAGGAATGTGTGGCAAACTTGACCACAGTTGAGCTAGAATCAGTAATGCATGCATCGAACACTGAAGGAATGTGCTTTGAAAATATACACAGACTCACAGCAGGCCCTCAGCAAAAGACAACTCTGTCCTTGCTCCAAGATTAGCAGCTGTGTTTATGAAGCTCCTGTGACATGAGATGCCAAAGAACCTGGTAAAACCCATGCCAGAAGATAGACTTTGATAGTCCACTCTGGACCCACCAAAAGACAAATTGGATAAATTAGGAATCGCAGAGGAGCAAAGAGGTTTAGAGTTCCCAACGTGCAACTTATCAAATCTGGTAGAATGTTCTAACATATCAGAAAGTAATTGATGTAATTGTTGACCGTTGTCTGAAGGTGAATTGTGAAGGAGAGGAAGTCAAGTAAGTTGTACAGAGCTTTGGCTCCCATTTGGAGTGCTGCATTCAATTTAGGCCTGATATCTCCATAAGACCATAACATATAGGAGCAGAATTAGGCCATTCGGCTCATCGACTCTGCTCTGTCATTCACCATGGCTGATGCATTTCTCAACCCAATCTCCTACCTTCTCTCCATAACCTTTGATCTCCTTGCTAATCGAGAACATGTCAATCTCCCTTAAATACACTGAGGCACTCTGCCTTCTGTGGCAATCAATTCCACAGATTCACCACCCTACGGCTGAAGAAATTCTTCCTCATCTTAGTTCTAGAGGGTCATCGTTTCATTCGGACGCTGTGTTTTTGGGTCCTAGTCTGTCAGTTTTAATGAGACCCCTGCGGTACTCCTTGTAACTGACTGCCACCCTCAAAAAGGCCCCTTTTTCGCTACTCTCTCTGTCATTGCCAGTACCTTGGCCCAAACACCATGGGTTCTTAGCTCATTAAGCAGCCTCCTGTGCAGCACCTTGTCAGAGGCTTTCTGGAAATCCAAATAGATCACATCTACTGGCTTTCCTTTGTTTTACTTGCTTGTTATCTCCTAAAAGCATTCTCTCCTATTGATCAGTCATGGCCTCCTGTTGACTTATCGAGGATCTATTGGTGTTAAATTCACCAGAATGTGATTTATGCTTGAAGGTTAAACTGAGGAGTGATTGCACAAAATTGGTTTATACTAGGTATAGGAAGTTTGTGAGGGGGTGCAGTGGGTGGTGCTCTAATTGAAGTGTTGTCAGATATTGAAATGACTCAGTGCAATAAATAGAAACTATTTCCTCTTGTGGAGTTAGAATGGGGGAGTTTAATCTTCTGCATCATCTGGTTCTAATGATAAAACACATATGAAGCATGTTTTTGCACAAAGGGTAGTAAAAATCAGAAATTCTCTTAATGAAAAGTCTGGGGATGCTTGGGCCAATTAGCTTTCAAGACTTAAAATGATAGATTTTTGTCAGCAGAGAGACTTGAGGGATAAGCAATGAAACTGTGTAAATGGAATTGAGTTGCAGATAAGCCATGATCTAATTGAACAGATAAGGCACCAAGGGTTGAATGGCCTACCCCCATTCCAATTTTCTTATGAACAAACTGAGAAAGCACAGCTGCAGGAGATGCGTGTACAAATTTTCCAGTTGAAGAGAATGAGGGATGTTATTAGATACTGGTAACAGATCCAGAATATGTTCTGCATCATTACCTCTTCACATGCAGACACTTGGAAAACTGAAGCAGGAGAATATAGAACAAGTTGACTAAAAGCAAAATAATGTGGATGTTGGGCATTTGAAAAAGAAATGAATGGCTGGACAACGGGGTTGGTCTGATAGCGTCTGTGGAGGGAAGAACAGAAATGGCGTTTCATATCCAATGATGCTCCATTGGAACTCTGAGCATTCTCCAGCACTTTGTTTGTTTTTATTTAAGAGCGAATAAGGATGTAGCTTCCTGTTGATACTATAACCCTGGTTGTATACAATGACGTTACGTATCTCTACCAGAATGAAGCTGATTCGCTAATTCCCCGGTCAGTACTCTGAGTACACATCACTTAAGAATTGAATGTGTGAGTAATTGAAGTTGTATAACACACTCTGTCACTCACATTTTGCTGGAGAAATAATCCTCGATTTCGGAAGAGTTTGCAGGTTTGGATGGGAATTCTATTCATTACATTTTGTACAACCAACTTAAATAGCCTTTGTTTGTTCGGTAAATAGACTCCATTTGCTATGAGTCTTGCTCAACCACCAATTCATTGGTTGGTACAGTTGTGTCAATACTTGCTCCATATATCCATTATGGGTTTAGAGAATTGGTGACAAATGGCAACATTTTTTTGTGTGGCTTTACTGGATTCCAACCTTTTGGCAGCACCTTCCCACTGGTATGGCAGGTCATACAGCTTGATCGACAGTGACAACTTTGCGCGTCTGCAGTTAGCTGCCATTCCACGGACTGTCTTAGGAGAGGTTGAGTATTTTGGGCCTGTACCCACTTGAAATGAGGAAAATGAAACACAACCTTATTGAAATGTACAAAATTGTTCAAGGACTTGACGGGATAGATGTAGATAGGTTGTTTCCCCTTGTGGGTACACCTAGAACCAGAGGGCATAATCTCCAGAATAAAGGGTGACATATTTAAAACACAGATGAGGAGGAATTTCTTTTGGGCATAGTGAATCTGTGGAGCTCTTTAACACAGAGGCCTTTTGAGGTTTGGTTATTAAGTATATTTAAGGCCGTGACAGATTTTTAAAAATCTAAGGGAATCGAGGTTGATAGGGGAAAGGCTGCCATGATCTTAGTGAATCGCAAACCTAAAAGTGTGCCCTCTCCCTCTTTCCATTAAAATACCTTGGGGCCCATTCTTTCCCTTTCAGTTCTCTTAACATTTCTTCCTGTTCTATTTTCTCTGCTTCCCATCTCTCTTCTTTTTGTAGTTCATTCAATACTACCCGCTCCTTCCTTTTCCTCAACCCTCCCATTCCCGTCCTCTTTGATGCTATCTTCCCCCATACCTTCTCTTTATTTGCGTCCCTTGCGTACTTGAGGAATTTGAAGATGCAGAGCATTTATGGCTAATGCACTACCTCATATATGAGCATTTCCTTTAGATTACCGATTTTCCCCATCATCATGCAACTGTGCGCTCTGCTTTGTCCTTGGCTGTCAAATTGCTGATCATAAAATAGCTGTTCAAACGGCAAATAAAACTGGATGTGTCTCCTTGGACTTTTCTCTCCCATAGCCACATTCAGGGGTCCCAATGCTGTAGAATAAATGTTGATCCGCATCCTATATTGCAATGTGAGACCTTAACAGTGTAGTAAGTGCCTTGGATTTAAATTCAACAGGACAGACCGACTGCTCTCAAACTTTGAGGATTCTCAGAGATTTTAAAAAGACATGTTTCTGCCCAGGCTTTGGTAAAATAATGTTGTGTTCCTCTGATCTCCTCTTTCTCACTCTCTTTGCTACCCATCCTGTCCTCAATAAGTGGTTGCAAAATAAATTAGCCAGTGATCACTGGTAAGCGTGCAGTGACTGCATAGTGCACACTCCTGTTACCTCTTCCATTAAAATGGAGTGTGGAACTGTAGAAGGAATTGCAACTCTGGGACTCTCATTACAATTGATTGTGCAAGGTGGGTGTGATCCAACTTTGGGACTTTTCCATTGCAAGTCTGAGATTCAGTATAAATGTAAATGTTCTGATGCCTTCAGGAGAGAAAGGGAGAGAGAGTGTGGTGAAGTGGAGGACGCGGGTACAATTGCAATGTTTAAAAGACATTAGGATAGATATATGAAAACAGATGTTTTGGAGGGATATGGGCCAGGCACAGGCAGGTGGGATGAGTTTACTTTGGGATTATGTACAGCTTGGACTGGTCCGTGCTGTATGGCTCTATAACCTCGAGAGAGCAAGTGTGAAAGAACATCATGTCGGCAGAGCAAGAATAAACTAAAGGCTGCACTTAATTTTTGCTGCTGGTACAAATTGATGCGTCATTTGCAGTCATCATATGGGGCCAATTGTAATGGCGTTGAAGTTCCTTAAATTATTGATTACATTAACTCAATAGTATATAGTACATGTTGTTGACACATCGGTATTTGTTTTGAATATGCACACACAAACACTAATTTCTCTGACAGCGGGTGTATTAAACTTTGTTTCCATTCTTTTCTGCAGCCCAGAAGATGAGGTGCCGAGCACAAGGAGTTTGAGAATGACACGGCTCTGCAGTTATCTGCAGCACAGATACATGCAACTCTTGCGAGTGGAGCGAGCAGCGGCCCGCCAGCAGCGGTGTCGGCATGCCTTCCGGAGAGTGCTACTGCAAGCAGCCAGCAAGGAACCCGACTCCACTGGGCAGCTGCTCTGGGAACTCCGAGCAGCAACCCCGACACAGACCAGGTCAGCTGCTGTGCACTGGCACTGCCAGACATCACTTAATGGAAGGATTGATCAAGGGAAACCAATCTCTTGGATAGCCTTGGATAAACACAACCTTTGGTGGGTGGAGGGGTTTGTTAGTTTTGGACATTTTGTTCAATACAAGCTATGTGATTATTGTTAGTCTTGAACGTCAGTCATTCATCATGATAACTCATGAGAGCACTAAAAATATAATAGTTTAATACCTTCCTCCTTTCTTTGAAATGACTTAGTGTTTTGCTGAGGGTCCTTGGTGAGAGGGATTTTAAGATTCCACCACACACGTTGGTATATCAATCTGTAAGTTACATTTTTGTTAGAAAGGAGAGCTTCTTAGTTTGTATATGGTAACGTGGTCTTGTCCCTGCCATCTTTTATCATCCTTATTGGCCTTCCTTCTTTCTTTTCAAAAAAAGGTCTAATTTCTTTCTTTCTTGGGAGATGAGTATTTCTTCACCTCTGCTGTGCTCCCAAAGCTAAGGACATAGTTTCGTAAATTCCAAGTTTCACTTACTGCCCTGGCCGACGTTTCTCCCTCAAACAAATTTGCCGGAAGACTATCACCACCTTGTTATTTATTTATTTATTTTTAATCTATTTTCTAATCAGCCTGTTCAAAGAAGACTTGAACCCACGTGCCTCAGTCCAGGGGTCATGACATTACCATTGTGCCCAAGAGGACCAAAATTTGAATTCAGGAGCTCCTGTTTACCAAACAGGTGCTTAAATCCACTGTGTGTGGAATGTATAGAACAGCTGCTACACTGCTGCTTTAATGGTTATACATTGATCAAACACTAGTCTTTTTTCTCCTGCATTGATTTGTCTGATTGGACCCGGGGTGTCCCAGACAAGAGGTGGGAGGGGTATATCAGCCAGCTTTTCTGATTTTTATCCGTTTGCATTCATTCCCATGATGTGGGCACTGCTGACTTGATGTTTTTCTACACACCTTTAGCTGGTATGGGAAAATGGTTAAAGGACTAGTGTAATTGAGGCCATTTTAGAGGTCAGTTATGAGTTAATTTGGAGTCACATTTAGGCCATTCTAGGCCAAAGAATATTCATGAAATCATTGGGCTTTTACAGCAACTTGTCTCATACCAACTTTAATACCATTTGTTTCAGTACCTAGATATTCTTGTGGTCCAGATTCAAATCCTCCAATTTATCATGCTATAATATGAACTGGCACGCACTTCACTTCTGGCCAACGGTATGAGTTACTAATCCAAGCAACAATTACCCCACCATGCGCGTTCAAATGGCTGCTGGTTACTGCCTTGTGGCTCCTGTGAGCAATTGAATGCGCATTGACTTTGGGAAATAGCAGTTTTATACTAAAGTGTGACACTCTTTTTGTGGTTAGCTGGTTTACAGGCAGTTAATTGTCTGATCTTGTGAAGAGTTACCTCTTGCCAATTGAATGATGTCAACACGTGTGGCTTTATGCTGTAATACTTTCAGTTGATAATGGGGTGAGGGATGCGAAATGGTGAAAATGAGATTGGGGTGAGGTCTGGGGTGTGAGAGAGGAGATTGAGTTCTGTTAAGGCTGGCTTTTTTAAAAAAAACTATTGGCTTAATATCTTTTTGACTTACTTTTATTGGAGTATTTATCTTTTAAACAATAATTGCTGAACAACTCCTGAAGAGACTAAATCATTCTCAAGAGACTATTAAGCTTGAAAGCACAGGAAGCTGGATTAACACTCATTTTATGTTTAAAGCATTCCTGTGTAATGATGATTAAAGTTAAGCTCCCTCTCTGTTCAATAGAGCAAGTAATTTGCGATGCTTCTGACAAAACATTTTCAGCATTCTGCATTCAACCAAGTTAATACTTTTCTTTCAGTTTTCCCAATGGTGATTTTTTTTATTTCAGACATTGCAAGCTGCTTAGAATTTGCCTGTTCTCTGGCAGTCAGGTGCTGAGAACATGGAACAGGCTTCTGAAGACGATGCTCGTTCTCTGTCTTTGCCTACACACACTTTTTGTTTTTTGGGCCAATTGATCTATGAAGTGGAGAACTACTGTGGTATTCAGGTCAATTGAGTTAAAGGCCAGGGATATTTGGATCAAGGCAAAAGCAAAATGGCCACCATGGAGCAAGAGGACCAGGGAAGTAGAATAGGAGGAATAGATAAGCATGCTCAGCAGAATTTGTGGGGAAACTGAGTGAGTCATTGCACATGCAGAGGGTTGCTTGCATGCAGATAACAATGTTAAATTTACTGTACCAATACTGTTTCTCTCTCAAACATTGTTCAGTCCTCAGTGTTTTCAGCCCTTCTGCTTGGAGGTTGCACATGTCGTAGGGTGTGGAGTTGTTCGGGTTCACAACCTGTCGAGTGGTGCTTAGACATGAAAGCGTCTCATTGCGTTACTTAAAGCGGAAATAAGCATCATTGGGTCACCTCAAGGCACTGCAGAAATTTTACAGAATCTATTGACCCACCCAAATTATTTTAATAGATAATAAGATTGGGAGGAGTTTAATGCTTAAATCTTCTGAGCAACCACTTGCGTTAAGTACTTGGGCTCACCAGACTTCCAATTAATTGTTTTTATTTCAGTCTCTATTTTTGTTTTAGCCTTAACAATCCAAGGAGGGGAGTCTGAAGATAAGATTGTTGGCATAATAATGCTGAGAGTTTTGCTCAGTCTGCAGTGTTAAACCGCTTGAAAGTGCATCGGCTTAATATTATCTCAGGAATGTATGTGAGTAATGCAGCATTGTTGTTAAGTGGTTGTTCATTGAGTCCTATAGGAGCAGTCCCTGAGGTTCAAAATTAATTCGACTTAACAGCAAGTATCTGCTTCAAGATTATATTTCAACCAGGAGCTTGACAAACTATGAAAAATGCAAATATTTGTATCTCAACCATTTAATCCAACCTGATTAATTCAATCCCAACAAGAGGATCTGACTCGAAAGTGGTTCAGCTTGTGCTGTTTTCTTTTTACCAGTTACTGATGCATTCATTGAAATTGGTGCTTTGTGTGATATGGCATTCACGGGGAGAAATTCTAGGTCCAAATAGGAACACGAGTATAACAGCAAGGAAGTGATGCATTAATGCAGGACATTAGGCTTCTGTCTGAGTATTAAATGAAGCTACGAACACACCATCACAAGGATGTTGGAATCATACAAAGGATATGGTTTTTAAAAAAAAGAAAAAGCTCTAAAGCAGTTTCAATTGTTAAGAAGACTTGGTAAAAAGTTAGTTCATGTTTCAAAGAGAAGGTTCAAGGAGAATCTAATAAAGATTTGGAAAATTTTGACAAGTCTTGAAAAGGTAAAGAGTAAAATTTGATAACTCCATAATCGTTGTGTGGACGTGAAGAATGAAAGGGGAAATTATTAGATCATGGGATGCTTTATCAAAAGTGGCTGTTGCATAAACAGATCAAATATTTGTAAGGGAAATGTATAAAATGCTGCAAAGATTGGACACAGAAATAGTTTGAGTAGATAACTCTGAAGAGCAAGTTGAAACCAGTAAAGACAGACATGCATGTTGTAATTTCTGACTGAAAAATGCTTTGTTTCACAGGAACTTCCTTTTCTGTCTGGGCAGTGAAGAATATGCAAACTGGTCTCATTTGGATTTGCCTCTTGAAAATTTGCAGGGTGTCTTCAAGCATTGGGGTTTTAGCATTTTAATAATACCAGGTGTTATCCACGAATGTTGAAGATCTGCAATGTGCTTATCAACGGCCAAAGTGTTCAGATTCAGTTTGCAAAGAGATGCGATGCTACGCACATTAAAATCGGGTGTGAGGCAATCATCAAACCATGTTGTCAAGGGGAGCTGGAATGAAAACCAAGTTTTTCCATCGTGTGAGAAGAGGCAAAGCCAGCTAGAGGTTGCAGCTTAATCAAGTTGGAACTAGCAAAACAAATTTCAGCCAGTGAGGCAGGTTGTATTGGTGGAGAGTTGCTGCTGGGGAAGTTGAGAGAAAGCACTCAAATGGACAATTGGAAGAAGGAGAAGGAAAGGCAAAGGGGTGGAGTTTGGGGTGGGAAAGTGGAGAGGTAGGGAGGGAAGGCAGGAAGAGGGAGAGAGGGAAAGGGAGGAAGGAATAACGTGTATAATGTAGAACAGCTACAATATTGTCTCCTTTACACCACACTTTGGGAAATATGTCAAGGTCTTTTGGAGAATATGGAAAAAAACTTAATGATATCAGGAATGGATACTTCAGTCGTGGGAGTGATGAGACTTGCTTTCAAGCAGAGAAGATCTGAGGTGCTCAAAATCATGAGTTTTCATTATAGTGAATGAAGGGAAACTCCAATGACAGAAGGTAGGTAACCAGGCGGCAGATTAACAAAATAACCAAAGGCAAGATCAGTTGATCTTCTTTTTAAAACGGAGTTGTGATCTGAAATACAATCGCTGAAGGCATAGTAGATACAGATTCGGTAGTAACTAAGGAAAGGAAACTGGGTGGATACTTGAAGGGGAAAATTGAACAGGGGAGTTCACGGGAAAGTGGTATTAAATTAGATAATGCCGTTGAAGGGTAAACATAAGCACACTGTACTGGATGATTCTACAATAGAATTGCCATGGGGTGCAGAGATTAATACAATCATAGAAGCAAGAGTGTAAATGTAGAGTGCATTGAAAGAGATTGATTCACATTGGAACGGGGATCTCATGCTTGCTCAGATGGTTGTTGAAGATCTGGTAACGTGTTTTGAGGAAGAGCTGGGGCCTCTCAGTAGCCTGACTAATTCATCATCAAAATCATTGCTTATGTTTGTTGCTGCTTTTAGGACCTTGCTGTATGTGAACTGGCTGCATAGTTTACCTACTGCAACCGTCACTGCAGTGCAAAATAATTCATTGAATGTATATGTGCTCTTGAGACTTCAGAAATATAGTGTGTAGGTTTCCCTGATCTTAGCCAAGGGATGGAGTTGGGAGAGAAATTCTTTTTGGTACCTTGTGCCCTTTGAATTTAAACAGCTCTTACTGCTTAATAGCTGTAAATAATTGCTTGCATCAGAGGGATTTAAACATGTTCATTGATACAAGGGGAAGATTTTTTTCCTTAAGCAATCCCCATTCCCATGTTTATGTTTATCTCTACCATCCATGAAGCAACAGAGATAGGCATGTGACTACTGCCACTGCCATGTAACTGACTACCTGTGGAGTTGCAAAGGACTCTGGTAGTAATTGCCACTTGCTGTTGGCAGTGGCCTGAAATGCCCAACCGCAGTGACTCGGATCTAGCATGCTGAAATAGGAAAGATCTGTAATGCTCAAGTGCATGGAAAACTGTGTGACCTGGCCTCAGGACTAGTTAAATATTGGTACTGTAAGAGTTGACTAATCTCACTGTTGTTTTTTTTTTCAGCACGAAGCAGCCAGATCACAGAATAGTGGAACCAGCACTGTGTACAGGAACCATCAAGGGCCAACATTGCCCCAACTTGTCTCTTCCGTACACCAGGCACTGTTTCCAGCGTATCCTTTAATGCTGCCCCTTTTCAAATGGCTAAACACACAGTTTACTGTATAAACCCGCATCAACATTGGGTCTTGGCAGAACCACTTTTAAGGATTACTGTGTGATTGGTTTCCAACACCTATTTTGTCTTTGAATTGAGCACATAATGTTATTGAGAATTGGTGAAGAACCCTGAGAAAATGAAGTTTCTGCAAAGAAAGATTACAAAGGAGGTAGTCTCAGAATATGTACAGAATCAGGCAAAGTCAACATGGTTTTGTGAAAGGTTTCTCGTATTTGACAGATGTATTTGAGTTCTTTGAGAATGTGACAATCAGACTGGATAAAGCAGAACCTGTAGATATAGTGCATTTGGATTTCCAAAAGGCATTGGACAAGGTGACAGATAAAAGACTTAATACACAAGGCAAGATTTCCGGTTGCTGGGAGTGATATAGTTATGTGAACAGAGGATTGGGTAACTAACAGAAAACAGAGTTAGCATGTATGGGTAATTTAAAACTTGGCAATGTAACCAGTAGATTGCCACAGAGTTTGGTGCTGGAGCTTCAGCTATTTGCATGATATATTGAGGGCTTGGAGGAAGGGTCCAAATGTATTCTTGCCAAATTTGCTAATAACACGCAAAATAGGGAGAGAAGCAAGTCGCAAGGTGGAGATGGAGATTGTGAAGGGATATAGATTGGCTTAGTAAATGGACCAAGATTTGCCCAGTGTTGGGGAAAACCTAAAGTTGTACATTTTTGAGCAGTAAGCATATAAAAGCAAAATGTTATTTAAACGGAGGAAGACTGCAGAATGCCACATTACAAAGTGATCAGAGTACCTTTGTACATGAATCACAAAAAGTTAGTATGAGTACAGCAAGTAATTTACAATGTGAATGGAGAGTAGCCCTTGTTGCAAGGGAGTGAAGTATGAATGTAGGGAAGTCTTGCTATAATAATGCAGGCACTGCTGAGACTGCATTTGGAGTATTGCATGCCATTTTGGACTGCTTGCTTAAGGGGGATGTGCAAGTGGTCTTCATTTTACATTGCTCCACTTAAAAGATATTAAAACAAAATAACATTATCTCTTGGGGCCTTTTTTTGTTTGCATCACCATCTTATCTTGGCGTCATTTGTGTGCTTTTGGCACTTGTTGAATTCCAAAATCAGTGCCCAATATTACACTGCCTGCACCCCAGATGCACACCCTTTCATTTTAGCGATAGTATGCAAGGTGTCTTGCCTCTCACTTGGCCAAGCTTCTTGGCCTCTCATTTTGCTAAATTTCCAGGGAATGTAAGACTTGTCTAGTCATTCTCTTCTGGTAGAATGATGCTGTCATTCCAAAATCAGTTCCTTTTTCACAGCAACTATTTCCTTTCTTGAGTAAAGAGATCATACCCAGCTGGTTATTAGAGTTCATACAATCACAAGACTTGATCACTCTCATACTCTGATCTCTAATATCTTGTAGTTTTCAGGGTTAATATAGTTGAAATTAGACTGATTGATTAATTCTTAAACTTGAATCCCTCTGTCACAAAGTTGTTGTTGCTTTTGTCTTCTTAGGTATTTATTATACCTGTAAGTGAACTTTGTGATTGGAGGGCAAAGATGCCCAGTTCACTTTCTCCTTGTCTTTTCCTATTTAAGAAAATATTCTTTTTTTTTTTTTTTTGAGCTAATGTAGATATCTTTGCACCTTGTCTCATGGTACTTCATCTGTCTTATTCTTTCACATTTGTTTGAGGTTATTGAGGCTTTGAATGGAAGCAAGGGAGTCAAGAGAGTTGGACTTTCTTTCATTGTACATGAGGACCAATGGACAAACCTTGGAGACACTATTCAGGACAGGATTTGGGGTGCACTTCAACTGTTAAAATATCTAATTTTCCCAAAATAAACACTAAATTAATCACTTTAAATGACATTAATGGTCTTTTTGTCAAGCAAAAATCTAAGGTTCATGATTGGAGTTACTATTCAGATCTGTTATGTTGTAAGTAAGTGATATAGCCACTGCTGTGCACCTTGTGTTGCAGCAGAATAGAGCCACAATAGACTTTTTGGATCATTTTCTCTGCTCTTTACTTCAGGTGATGCTTTCCTGACTGGAGAACACCTTGATCCTGCGTGGCCTCTTCTGCAATGTATTTTGGAGTCACCAAATAGAAAATGAAGAGAGCAGTTGGTAATTGTGCAAAAGCTGTCAATCCCAAGGTGGTCATTTAATTAAATAACACCATTTAGGACTGATTTCTCTTGTAGATGACCTTTGTAAAAGCTTATTTATCCTGGCAATCTGATATTAAGCAGTCACTGAATGAAAAGAGTTGTTGTGCTGTATTGAAGCGAAGCTCACTGTATTTCAGTTTGAAGCTGACTGTTTCCTTGACCTTGACTGATTCAGATATCCTGTTGAGTCGCTCCCAGCAGCTGTTCTCAAGCTGCACAGCCAAGTTTGCAGATGGGCAGCAGTGCTCAGTACCAGTGTTTGACATCACGCACCAGACGCCACTTTGTGAAGAACATGCAAAGAAAATGGTAAATAATTAGAAAACAGCATGGTGTGTGTGTGTGTGTGTGTGGGGGTGTGTGTGTGTGTGTGGGCGT